GAAACTCACACTTTGATAGTTTAACATAAAGTTTGGCATTCAACAGTTTCTTTATTACTTCTCTCACTAGTTTTACATGGTCAGCCATATTCATGCTGTATATCAGGATATCATCAAGATACACCAAAACTCCTTTGTATAAATGATCATGTAGTACCTGATTGATCAACTGCATAGAGACAGCTGGAGCCCCCTGTAGTCCAAATGGCATGACTTTAAATTGGTAGCTTCCCATGGGACAGTTAAAAGCAATCTTCCACTCATCTTTATCCTCACTCAGTAATATGCCTCTCTTAGATCCAACTTAGTGAAGACACTGCCCTTTGCCAGGGGGTATTTGTTTTCCACACTCACAGCATTTAATCCTTTATAGTCCATGCAGAAATGAAGCGACCCATCTTTTTTTTCTTTAAATAATACCAGAGCTCCCACTTGAGATTTAGCTCATTCAATAAATCCTTTCGCTAGGTTCTTGTCCACATACTGCTGCATTTCCTCCATTTCAAGGGGGGACATGGCATACATCCTCAGTCGTGGAAGTTTGGCTCCTGGTAACAGTTTGATAGAGCAATCATTAGGCTGGTGGAGAGGCAGGGTGACACATTCTTTTTCACTAACACTTCCGCTAGGTCCCGGTACTCGCTGGGGATGGGTGGCTTGCCTGGTTGAAGCAGAGCAGCTATTTTCGCTAGCTTGTTAGAAGGGCTAAGTCCTCCGGTAATATCAGCCAAGTTAAGGGGGGCTTGGATCCTATAGGTAATCTCACAGTTCTCATTCCCTTCTCCCACCAGATAAACGGCTTCCATCTGTCTAAACAGGCTAGCCCTAGGATCACAGCCTCAGTCATTTTCAGAGCCACCATGAAACACATGAACTCCCAGTGCTCACCTATTTCTAAGCATATGGGTTCAGTTAATTGCATGACTAAGGTTCCTCCCATTAGGGAGCCATCAGCTTGCTCAACCTCATGGGTTTGGAGAGCAGCCTTGCTCGTATGCCCATTTTCAGGACAAGTGGTAAGCTAATAATGCACCGAGAGCATCCTGAGTCCACTAGTACTTTAGATCTACCTGTGCCCCCATCTTAGGGATTATGAGCTGGGCAGGCAAAGAGGTAGATGGAACGGGTCGACTCACCATCGGGTTGTTCTCTCCTTCATCGTCGCTGTCGTAGGAGGGCAGAGCAGTGGCAGGTCCAGTTTGGGCCTTGGCACTCTCCTGCATGGGCAACGTGACTTGGGCAATGGATTCCTGTGCAATCCAGTTGGATTTCTCTTTCGCTGGCTGCTGGGCTGATTTCTTCCTCGCTAGTGGTCCTGGTCTATTCTGCTGTTGAGGGTAAGGGACTGGGCATCTCGCTGCTCGATGTCCCTGTTGTCCACATCTGAAATATTTGATCAATGGGCCTGCAGGTGGCTTGGGGTTTTCAGTGGCTGCGGCAGTTGCAGGCTTTCAGGGTGATGGTTGCCGTTTGGGTTGATCTGGCCTCGGCCCGTCTTCTTGTGGTTGTGGCTTCTTATAACGGGCAAGCTGGACGTCCAGTCTTACTGCTGCCTGGTACCATTCTTGCAATTGATTAGGGACTGCTTGATAGATACAAGCCTGGGAGAGGTGGTTATCCAGTCCCTCCTTGAAGTGATGAACTAGGGATTGCTCGGGCCACCTCTTTATTCGGCTGGCTATCTTGCAAAACTCTTGCAAATATTCCAGTGCAGGCCTGCCAGCTTGTTTTATCTTATGGGCTTGCTCCTCTGCTTTGAGGGCAATGGATGGGTCCTCAAACCTTGCTCTCAGTCCTAGGAGGAAGAGGTGGAGGTCCCCCAACTCAGGTACTTGCTTGTTGTATAAATTGTTCAGCCACTCGGATGCTTCCCTTTCCAAATTGGACACAACCACGTCGACCATAGTGGCTGTGTTTCGGTAGTAATAGGCACAGCGGTTCATGTGGGAATGCACCTGGTTGAGGAAGAAAATCAGCTTCTCCGGGTCTCCATCAAAAGTTGCTCTAAGGGGAGGCGCCATCAGCTCCAGTGAGCATGCATTCCTGGTGCTTGCTGGCCTCCCCACTGTGCATGTTTCACCCCATCAGTTGCTGGCCTCCCCAAGGTGGCTGTAGCATCCCCAGTTGCTGCAGGCCTCCCAGTGGTTGTTGCACGTTCAGGGGCTGTTGCCATCCCCATGGCTATTGCTGCACCGCCAGCAGCTGTGGCATCCCCAATTGCTGTGGGACCCCCAATGGCCTCAGAGGCTGCTGAAGTGGCACCCCCAGTTGCTGCAAGGCCTCCCAGTGGTTGCTACACATTTGGGGGGTGTCGCCATCCCCACTACTGCTGACCTATGGGCAGCTGTGGCCTCCCTGGTTGTTGTAGGGATCCCTGCGGCCCCAGCGGTGGTTGTTGTGGGATCCCCAATGGTTGTGGGCCCGTCAGTGGTTGCTGTACATTTGGAGATGGTGGCCAGCCCCACTCCTCCTGCTGCACTCCTAACAGTTGCAGACCTCCTGGTAGCTGTATTATCCCAGTTGCTGAAAGGTCCACAGATACTGCTGCACTTTAGGGGTCTGAGGCCCCCTCAATGCTGTTGCTGCACCATCAGCAGCTGTTGGCCTCCCAGCTGTGGGGGTTGTGGCATCCCCCATTGCTATAGCGGCCTCGGGCTGGGTGGCCGGTAAGCAAGTCAGTCCGGGCTGCCATGTCTGGAGCGGGGACAGGGCTTTCCCTCTCTGCAGGGCTGGAGGCTATTGTAGGTGGCTTTGTGGATGGGGAAGCTGCTTGCCCTGCACAGGTGGGGCTGGGGCTTCCCCTTGACATGGGTTGGTGGCTGCCCCACTGATCATCATGATCGATCACGTATGGAGAACAGGAGGGTTGTTCCCCACTTCTCATCTCTAGCTCCAACTTCTCCACTAATTGACTACTGTCTGCGGGCAGGTACTTCCACTCACCAGAGTCCTCAGCGGTAGTTGATTTCATGGCTCTCCATTGGTCTGGGGAATGCGACTTGCGAGAAGCCCCTCTTTGCAGCTCGACTTCATCTGCCTTCGAAGCACTTGATTGTGGCAAGGCCATTTTGAGGTGTCTGAAGTCTCCACTGGATAAAGTCCAGTCCAATGACCAGATCAGTTGTCCTCGCAGCTTGGGTCTTGCCCCCATCTGGGAGACCTGAAAAGATTCTTTCTCCACCAGCGCACTGGCCTGCACTCCCTCCTCTGAGGCAGCAGTCACTGCTGGGGTGCTGGTTTCTGGCGCCCCTTCCTATTCCATGTTAAAATCTTTCCCGAATCTTTGTTGATCTATCCCTTGACTTTATAGACAGCAACTGGAGCTCGGGACCCCAGGGTATATAGGTAAAAATTGGACTTTTGAGGTTAATGTCATGGTTTCAATAGATGAAACCCTTCAAAAGAACTTTGAGGCATTGTGTACCTTAAAGAATTTTTATTCAGGAAACAAAGTATCAGCACTACATAGTTGAACCCAAAAACTAAATTCCCCTCCCCTGGATACAAAGTAACAAAGTGCAATTCCCACCTCCAATAAACAGTCATAAATCACATTCCCCAATTAGCTTGAAGCGTGGGCTTCCTCCCCAGCTCTCCAGCCAGACAAAACGCTATCAACTCTGGGCCCAATGTCTTTGGGTTCCCACGACTGAGTATTTATTGTTATGACTAGCTAGATTCTCATCCCTATCCTCCCTCCCAGCATCAACTAATTCTAAAAGCATAGAGAAAATGGCTGCATTTTCATCTGTTGTCAAAGCAAGAACATCCGATGTTAGCAGCATTGACAAAAGGCAGTGGTGGGATTCAAATATGTGAACAACCAGTTCTTTGTGTGGATGCCACTTCTGGAAGTCCATTCTGAGCCTGGGCAACAAAAAATTAGCTACCAGTTCTGCCGAACTGGTGTGAACCAGCTGGATCCCACCACTGGAGAAAGGAAATTCTCCCTGGGGTATACGTGTAACAAGGGAATGAATGGGGCCAAAGTTTTAGCTTAATTCTAACTCTTTTTTCAAGCTATGAAGAATGCATTTTTATATGTGGCTTCCATTAATATATGCACATTTCTTTTATTATAATTCATAAAATTGCTTCAGAGAAATCAGAATATAAATTTGGAAGAATAACTGCTTTACTTCCGAAATATTTTTCCCTCATTCTTAACAGGAATCCTTCCAACCATTTTTTGGTGTATTTCAAAGACAATGGTAGAATAAGGATCCCTCCTTTCTTAAGACTTCCTGTAGATGGATTGTCATCACCATGAAACAAAGCTTATCAATTTTTTGCCACATAATTGAAGAATATATCAAAGTCAGAAAGGTATATTTTATGATTCCTGTGAGATAAAAAATACTGTGAATGAAATCAATTCAAATTATTAAGCAAATTTCTAAAATATAACTAAATGGGATAAATAATGTATTGCTCTCTCTCTCTCTCTCTCTCTCTCTCTCTCTCTCTCTCTCTCTCTCTCTCTCTCTCTCTCTCTCTCTCTCTGTGTGTGTGTGTGTGTGTGTATATGTGCACGTGTGTACACCTTCAAGATAGTTTTTAAATCCTAGTGAATTTAATCCCTGCAATTTTCTTGGCAACATTTTTCAGAAATGGTTTGTCATTGCCTCTTTCCCAGGGTTGAGAGAAAATGATAAGGTCACCTAGTGACTTTATGTTTAAGGCAGGACTACATCTAGTCTCCTGATTTCTAGCATAGGGCTTTAACTACTACACCAAACTGGCTCTTGTATCATATAGTATTTTAGATCAATTTAATAATTCTTCATTGTATCAAAAACATCTTCCTTTTTAAGAAAGCTATTGGTTAAGAATTATTGGAAGTTCCAATTGATTTGTCAGGGACCATTGCCATGCTGTTGATCATGTATCACCATTAAATATAGCAAATCATTTGCAAGTCCTCCCAAATCTCTTTTCATAGAATAAAAAGATATTTATAGTTATTTAAAAAGGCATCATGATTAAGAGATGAGATTTACCGTCTACCAGGGTACACAGCAGCATTTCGGTCATTACAGTCTTGGCCTCTCCAGTTATATCCTCTCAAATTCTAATTAGGAAGAAGAGCAAAATGAGATTGTTGATTTGTTGTTTTCCCCTTCTAGATATTAAAGTCTAAGAAAAGGAGGAAAAAAGGAGAGGCTGACAAATCAAATATCTTCTTGCCAGTTATGTTCAGAAAACTTATATTGCTCATTTTAATGGAAAAATAAAACACTCTGACAATTTAATTTTTTTCAGATAACTTTGTTTCACATTTATTAATAATTCAATAAATATGATGCCCTTTAGCAAAGTAATTAGCTTCTCTGGGCAACTTAATTCCATGGCTACATTTCCAAAAAGGAAACAAAAAAAATAATTATTACCCTTCACCCAAAAGAAAACAATATTTCAAGGTTGTAAAATACATGAAACAAAAGGCTTTTTGGATTTTATAAGATGCTTTTCTGAGAAATCAAATTGGCTATACTTACCTGGTAAGTACTAAACTTATCTCCATCAAGATCTACGAATGGTAACTGGTTCTTGACAAAACTGAAGGAGAAAAAGCAGGGTACAAAACATGCACATCTTCTTTATTTAGAGTGTGCTGTAAACTTTCTCATTTTAGAATTCTGTTCACTTCCCTGCATTAAGTAGTGTCCTTCATAATGCAAGCAATCTGTTCTATAATTAAAAGCACTCTTGGACTCAAGATGTAATAATAAATTGAACTCCCCTCTCCCAGGTTATGGGCACCAATATTCTTTTAACATACAGTATACTTAGAGTGATTTGGCTAGCAAATCACTCTAAGTGATTTCTTCACTTCTTGTCCCCCTCTCCCTGACACTTATGACACCTTGTCTACCAAATTTTGCAATAGCCGTTTGAACATTCTTCTTGCTTGTCTGCCAAACACAACAAGAAACAACAGCTTCTGAGAACAATATGAAATCCTATATATAGAAGCTGTTACTATTATTGCTGGAACAGAAGTTGGGGAGATAGGGAAACAAAGTTCTCTGATAACTATTTGCTTTGTAGAGCAGAGCCATCCAAAACTGGAGGACAGGAGGCAAAATAGTGAGTGGAACAAAACACTACTGCTTGATGTGTGCATTGCATGAAGGTAGGATATCTGTACTGTATATTGTGGACATGCCTGAGCTTGGTGCAGCTGTTCAGCATTTTGCTTGCCTGGGAAAACGAACTGGGTGTATTATCTTTTAAATGTTTTTTAGGCTAGTGAATACAGTCAGAATTTTAATAACATGTTTTTGGCTTTTCATTTCTTGAAAAATATTCTTTCCCCCATTAAATTGCTTTTATTTAAAAAAAATTTTTTTAAAAAAATATCCTTTCATTTGGGATTGGGCCTCTAGGTAACACCTTGGAAGGTGTTCATGAAGTTATCAGTGCAAAGCATAAAGTTATTTGAAAATAAAGAATTTTAAAAAATACATACAATTCCATTTTCCGGCACAGATTTTTCATAAAAGGAAGCGTACATATAAATGATAGTTCATGCATGTATTTCTGGAAGTTGAAAACAGATGATTAACTGCTGGTAACTACACATAATTCTTAATGGAAATAGATAAATACTTCAATGATAAGGGAATTTTGCAACAGCTTTCAACATTATAAATCTGCTTAAAGTACATCATTTAAGCAAAATTATTAAAGTCAAATCAAAAATATTTTATTGTATTCATTGCTCAATAATAAAAGTATAATGACAAGAAGGTCCATCTTTTTTTTTTTTTAACAATGGGGACATTTTAGATGCATAGAAACTCTACATAGAATCTGTCCATATTCGTATTATAAGAGTTAAGGGCAAAAGAACAAAAGCATCTTTTAATGGGATAGGTATTGAAACCCTAAGAATTGAGAACTCTCTGAGCTTCTTTGTTTTCTTGAAGATATTTCATTACCCAAATTAGGGCTAGTAAGGAGTGGAGTTTGCTCTCAGCAATCAGAAGACATGATGAAAACTCTTTAATTTCACAACATATGGACAGATTTATCCCTAGAAGCCTGGCGCTCTGACAAATTAGCCATCAATAGACATATAGACATAAACAATATCTAAATACTATGCAAAAGAGACAATAGGTAAGTGAAACAGGTAACAAAAAGGTCAAAACACCTCCCTACCAGCAATTAGATCCAGATGAGCACAGATTAACTCCAATGTTAATATCAGATAAAAAACCAAGTAAACAATACCTCAATCAAACAACTGCCAAACAAGCCAACAGTAAATAGTAAACTGCCCAACCAAAGAAACTCTAAGACCATTCCACCAACACCGACAGTACAAGCCACTACTAGAATATATGAGAGTAAACTGCACTCCTTACCAACACTGATAATGTTACCTACTTTGACTTTGGTTTTGTCGATTAGATAGATTTGTTGTTATAGAAATGGCTAGTTATATATTAATGTGTAAAAACAAAAAGTTGAGGCTGGAGTGTTTTTATCTTGTAGTGTTCTAAAAATCAGGGGTCCCCAACCCCCGGTCCGTGGACCAGTACTGGGCTGAAGCATGCTAGCAACCAGTCCGCACAAACAAGCAAAGCCCCATCCGCAGGATGCAGGCAGCGCACAAAACCATGCAACTTCTGGTCCACAGAAAAACCTCTCTCCATGGAACCGGTCCCTGGTGCCCAAAAGGTTGGGGACCTCTGCTAAAAAGAGTTGGAAGTCAACAATTTTTTTTTCTTTATCCCTTGGACCTTCTCTTCCATCTCTTTTTCCCTCCCTTAATTTCCTAATTCTATTTTTCTTTGTATTTTATATATAAATAAAAAAATAAAACAAGTTAAAAAAAAAAGCACAAGAACTTATAACCATGGGAAATTCTATAATGCTCTTCCTAGGTCAGTGTTGTTTACTCAAAGACAGAAGCTTTCCCAGCCCTTCCTGCAAACATCAAGAAACTTTTTCCATGGAAGTATTGTTGAGCTATGGCTCAATACACAAACATATCACTCCATAGCCAGGGATTATGGTCATGGATGAGTTTTTCTTGATGTACTGTTAAGTCTAGACTCAAAAGGATAAGAAGAACAGCAATTTCAGGGTTCTTTGCTCAGATGTACTGCTTCTAAAATGGCAAATCATATTTTTCAGTAGTGTTTGGTTTCCTATGATTAAAATTTGTTAACATTTGTGCAATTTCTCTTGTGCTTGACATATATATTTTCTCTCAGGGCTCCTTTTCTGTGTCTTTGTGCTGTTACTCATTTTCTTCCTAGCAATTCAGATTTTTTCCCCCTTGATACAGTAATAAAAAGCGAGTTTTCATCTCACTTAATGATTCAAAAAGATTTATTGTATGTATATTTTGAATTAATCTGGCTTCAGCATTAACCAATTGCAAGTACATCAAAATGAAAAATATGCTTTGATGCAATTCCTTACCTGGCTTCTAGTTGTAAACATTCCTTCTAATTTCTTTATAGCTATGTTAAACCTTTCCTAGGAAAATAAAGTAAAAGAAAGTCATTTATAATCCAGCAGGTTATTTCTACTCATATTTTCAGATAACATGTATCTATGGGATTCATAATGATGAATGTTTGACTGTGCTTCATCAGTTATTTATATCTGGGTTCATCATCACTTGCCTGTTTGCCAATCTATAACATTCCATCTGTAAATATTCATTTAGGGAGAGACTCATTCATTTTCTTGCAAAGATTATACTTTAAGGCTTGATTCATATCCCAAGGATGCTTGGCTAATGGATATAAGCATGAAACCCAGGTATTTTTCAGACTGGAGACCACTGAAGAGAAACAGGGCCCAGTTTTAGAGGGGCACCTAAAATCCAACAGATATGTTCAACCCTCTTTGAATACACAAAATTGCTGAAGTTGAGAAATACTAATCAACAAATTTCTTAATCTAACATGGCCTATAAAATTGTTCTAAGGAAAACATTACAACCAAAGTAAAAAGTACTTGATTTAATTCTGGCCCTGCATAGTGTAGGATAGATAAAATACCCTGAAAATTGGCCAGCCTTTCTGGCTTATTCTATAAACCATAGTTAAAGCAAGCTATTATTACTATGAGCCCTGAATTAGAATATTTTAGCTTCCATTTATGTAAATGGTTGCTGACTTTCCAAATATTTTGTTTTCCTGGAGAGATCAGTGAATAACGTTAATATTGGGTGGCTCACGCATATGAAAGTTGGCATCCCTGGTAAATGAAGCTCTGTTATCCTGGCAAAGAGGTGATATTTTCAAACATTAATACCAATTATTTATTTCTTACACCTGACAAGCTAGTAAATAAACAACTAATTTTCAATTTTAATACTCTATATTTCATATACCGTAATGCTCAGAAAGGAACCTGTATAGTACAATTATAAAACTGAGAGCGCAGAAAGAATTTATGTCACTCCTCCTGAGAGGTACATTATTTTTTCAATGTTCCACTATTTATTTAAGCCAGAAAGTGCAGCTGGTTGTACAGGTAGTTCACAACTTACAATAGGTTGCATAGTGACCATTCAAAGTTACAACAGCACTGAAAAAAGTGATTTATGACCATTTTTCACATTTATGAACATTGCAGCATCCCCCTGGTCACATGACTTACATTCAGATGCTTGACAATTGACTCACATTTATGACAACTGCAATGTTCCAGGGTGATTTGATCACCTTTTTCAACCTTCTGACAAGCAAAGTCAATGGGGAAACCAGATTCAATTAACAACCTTGTTTCTAATTTAACAACTGCAGTGATTCACTTAACAAATGTGGTGAGAAAAGTTGTAAAAAGAGGCAAAAGTCACTTAACAAATTTTGCACTTAATAATATAAATTTTGGGCTCAATTGTGGTTGTAACTTGAGGACTACCTGTATTATGGTTTTGTTTTTTTTGTTTTTTTTTTCCAAAAAGTTTTTTATTGTTTTCAGCATAAAAAAAAACACATCACAAGTACATCACAATTGAAACCCCCCCCACCCCCCACCTGGACTTCCCAAACCTAATCCCAGGATACTATTCAACTAAAAGTAACCTTATATTAATATCCCTAACTCCACAAAGTGTAATTCTACATAAGTAGGTGAAATATATATATATGTAAAAAAAATTTTTTATCTAAAAACCTAACTTATATTCCACCATTCTATGCTTATTTTGAATATAAACAATCCATCTTCTCCATATTGATAAAAATTGTTCATTTGAGTGATCCTTCAAATAAGCCGAAATCTTTGCCATTTCAGCAAGATGCGAAACCTTCACTCTCCAGTCCTCTATTGTAGGTAAAACTTTACTCTTCCAGT